AGATATCATCTCACTCCACTCGGAATAGCAAAATTTAACAGAGCAACAAACAACAAATGCTGGCGAGGTTGTAGAGAAACTGGAACCCTTATTCACTGTCGGTGGGAGTGTAAAATGGTGCAAGCACTGTGGAAGGTGGTATGGCGCTTTCTCAAAAAGTTGCAAATAGAGATACCATTTGACCTAGCAGTTCCACTACTGGGAATATACACTAAAGAGACCATAACTGCCACCCAAGCAGATATATGCACACGCATGTTTATCGCGGCTTTGTTCACGATAGCAAAGAGATGAAACCACCTAAGTGCCCATTAACAAACAAATGGACAGAGAAGTGGTATATTCACACAATGGTATACTACGTTGCATTGAAAAACAAGGAACTCATGCAATATTATTCAAAATGGGTGACCCTGGAGGTCATTATGCTGAGTGAGATATCTCAGTCAAAGGGACAAATACTGAATAGTGCCACTGTTGTAGAACAGGGCTGACATCCGGGCTGGGGGGAGACTGATAAAGATGGGACAAATAATCTATACTGCATTGAAACAAATGAAGGAAAAAACAGTTTAAAAGGGATATCTGATTAGGTGTTATTGTCATGACAGGAGTCCAGAACGAAGGCTGCATAGTGGAGTGGACCTAGGGGAGGGATTGTAAAACAACGGGGGAACTTTTACTTTTTAAAGAGAAGAGTGTATGGGGGGGTAGGGGTGGGCAGGGAAAAAAGTGCAACAATGAATGAATGGAAATCCAAAGTCTCTGTAAATTTTCATTAAAATTAATTTTTTAAAGATTTTTTAAAAAGGCATTAAAAAAAAAGAAGTGTGAAATTCCCCAGGTCCTATACCTCATGAAACTTTTTAAGTGTTGAAATGTAATCTAGAGCACTGGCATGGGGGATATTTTCAAGAGCACATCCAATCTCCATCCTTCCCCCACCCCTTTAATTTTGCTTAGAACATATGTGATTGTCTTTTTTTTTTGTAGTTTAGTAATTTTACCATATATTAAACCTTAAATTTTTTTTTTAAAAAAGTATAGTGATACAATGACAGGCACATAGACCAATGAAACAGAATTGAGAACCCAGAAATTAATCCATCTATCTAGGGTCAAGTGATATTTGACAAAGAAACAAAACCTATCAAATGGAGAAATGACAACCTCTTTAATAAGTGGTGCTGGCAAAACTAGACCACTACCTGCAGACAGCTGAAACAGGATTCACCCTCTCATCATACACAAAGATCAACTCAAGGTGGATCAGAGACCTGGGTGTAAAGCCTCAAAACCATAAAGATCATAAGAGACAAAGTAAAACCAAGCTTAGAAGGCCTAGCTCATAGTATAAAAAGGCTGATAAATACATCCAGAAATACACAACCAGGAGAGGATAAAATTGATGATTGGAGTCTTCGAAAGATTAAATCTCTGTGCGCATCAAAAAACAGTTTCCAACAGAGTGAAAAGAAAAGCTACTGATTGAGAAAAAAAAATTGGAAATATCATTTCAGACGAAAGTCTCATATCAAAAGTTTGCAGAATCCTACAGGGCATCCACAAGAAAAAGACTGATAATTACAAAATGGGCAAAAGACGTGGAAAGACTTTTTACCAAGAAAGCTATTCGGATGGCCAACAGACACATAAAGAAGTTCTCAGAATCACTGGCAATCAGAGAGCTGCACAATTTGATGGGTGAGTGAGGGAAATTGGAAGAATCTTTTCCAGAAAACAATAAATTTGAAGTTTGTAAATAAACTAGTATATTTTTAAAAATGAGATGCAAATCAAAACCACAATGAGCTAGCCTCTCACTTCATTAGCAGTGGCAAAGCTTAACAGGACAAGTAATAAATCTTGGAGAGGATGTGAATAGATAGAAACTCTTATGCACTGTTAGTCGGACTGTAAAATGGTACAACCACTCTGCAAGGCAGTTTAGCTTTTCCTAAAAAAGCTGAACCTAGAAATTCCGTACGTTTTAGCTATTCCACTGCTTGGAAAACACCCTGAGAAAATTGGAAATGAGACACAGAGATTTGTACACCGATTTTCATAGCAGCGTTATGCACCATCGCAAGAACATGCAAACAACCCAAATATCCACTTACAACCAAATGGATTGAGAATTATGGTACATTCACATGATGGAATTCACTATGTTGCACGCAGGAACGATTTTGAAAATTACTACATAACTTGGGAGGGCCGGGAAAGCATTATGCTAAGTGGATTAACTCAGTCTCATAAGGACAAATACTATACGGGACAATTATTGTAGAAATAGAAAGATAACTAGTAAAACGGGTATGAAGGTCCAAGGGGGGAGGGTAGAAGCAGAGGGATGAGGATGGACAAAGGGGGTGATCATAGGTTCACACAATGTGATGGGTAGAGGAAGGGTAGGTAAAAGAAATGGGAAAGATCTGATATGAAAAACAGTGCATACAAACTTTGTAAGCAAACCAGTGTAAAATGAAAATTTATTTAAAAAAACCCCAGAAATGTTATCTATTTAAATTTACTTTACTGGATAATGAATTTTTAGGTAATAAAAATTAGTTTCCTGTTTTGGTAAAATGATTAAGTCTCTTTTGAAAAGATAATGTTAACGGGATAACTATGGTCATTATGACAGAATTTTTAAATAAGTCCTATTTTAACTTGGGGTGGGGGGGGAGAAGTGTTATATTGTGAAAATGTGCTGTGAAGGACCTCTCCAAAATGCTGAAAAGCAAGGATTATTCCAGTTTAAAGACTAATGTGTGGCTTATCCAGGCCCAAACCTTTTCAATTGCTTCCTATGCACTGTAGTTGTTATGTGCCGTCGAGTCGTTTCTGACTCATAGCGACCCTATGCACAACAGCCCTAAACCCTGCTCTATCCTGCACCAACCGCACCGCCTCTGACACACCCATCCCGATTACCCCAGTAACTGAATCAATCCATCTCATAGAGGGTCTTCCCCTCCTGCGCTGTCCCTCAACCCTCCCAAGCATGATGTCCCTCTCCAAGGACCCGTCCCTCCTGGCAACATGTCCAAAGTATGTCAGACGAAGCCCCAGAATCCTTGCCTCCAAGGAGTAGCTTGGTTTAATCCTCTCCAAGATGAATCTGTTTGTTTTCCTGGCAGTCCATGGTACATTCAGTACCCTTCTCCAGCACCACAGCTCAAAAGCATCCACTCTCCTTCTGTCCTCCCTAGTCATTGTCCAACTCTCTGATGCATAACAAGCGATTGCAAATACCATGGCCTGTATCAGGCGCACCTTAGTCTCCAGAGAGACACTGTTGCTCCTGAGTACCTTTGAGAGGTCCCTAACAGCAGACTTTCCCATCGCGATACGCTTTTTGATTTCCTGACTGCTGGTACCAAGAGTGTTGACTGTGGAGCCGAGCAAACTGAAGCTGTGAACACTCTCCTATGCACTAGATAGTTGGATAATGACTAAAAAAGACTGAAGAAGAATCAATGTCTTTGACCTGTGATATTAGAGTATTGACTGTCCCACCATTGGCCAAAAGAGCAAACAGACTTGTCTGGGAGAAGTGTAAGCAGAGTGCTCCTCAGAGGCGAGCACGGTGAAACCTCTCACCTCCTTTGGGTGTGTTGTCAGGAGGGAGGAGCCAGTCCTTGGGAGACAACATCGGGCTAGGAGTGTACAGGGTCAGGGAAAAAGATGGACTGACACAGTCACTGTAACAATAGGCTCAAGCACATCAGAGACTTTGAGGACGGCACAGGGCAAGGTGCAGATCTGTTCACAGAGTCGCTATGAGTTGTACCTGACTTGAAGATACTGATGCAATGCACTAAGCTTGGTTCTAAATGAAAGGTCATTAGTTCACACCCACGAGTCTCTCAATGGGAGAAAAATGTGGCCGTGTGCTTCCACAAAGCTTACGGCCTAGGAAACCCAACAGTGCAGTGATTACCTACCCTACAGGGTTGTCATGAGTTGGAACTAAGTCCATGGTAATGGTTTTGGATTTTCAGAACTGTTGTTGCTGTTGTTAGGTGCCGTCGAGTCATAGACGACTCATAGCGAACCTATGAATGAAAGACCTGAGCATTGTTCATAGAGTTTCCAGAGGCAAGCCATTTCGGAAGAGGATGCCACACCTGCTTCCAAGCTTGATTTAATCAGGAAGCTCCACCAAACACTGTCCAGCATGGGTAACCATTATCATATTTGGCACATCAGTGTCACAGTGTTTAGCACCACAGCAACCATGAGCTACCTCTGCACAGCAATGCACAAACCAGTACTATACCACCTAGAAAAATGTTTGACAAAAACAATTTAAACCAGGACTGAGTGCTGCAGATTAAAAATCACCCACCTTGGACTTGGTAGCATAACTTTCTGTCCACTAGGCCACCCTAAAGCTCACTCATTCCAGCCAAGAGCTTCTGTAGAACCAACTGCAGTAGACGACTTTCAAACTGAGCTCCATGTAGACAAGTAAACCATACACAGGCAGATTGAGAGAATTGGGTTTAGAAGCCATCCAAGGGAGAAGTCAGCACAGGATAGATGCAGGGGGAGGAGAGAAGGCCACAGAGGGCCAAGGGGTATCCATGGTCCTGGGACTCCAGTATAATCAATGGAGTAGATGACTGGGATCTGGAGATTTTCCATCTGAATAGACTTGTTGTTTGGTGCCGTCATAGACGACTCATAGCGACCCTAATAATGAACGGCCTGAGCACAGAGTTTCCAGAGACAAGCCATTTCGGAAGTGGATGTCGCTCCTGCTTCCAGGCTTAATTTAGTCGGGAAGCTCCAGCCAACACTCTCCACCATGGGTACTCATTACCACGATTGGCACATCACTGTCACAGGCTTCAGCATCACAGCAACCACGAGTTACCTCTGTACAGCAACGCACAGACCAGTGCTATACAACCTAGAAGAACTAAATAGACCTAGGTAGGTGGAAATCCAGCCTGGGTGGTAGTGAAAGAGAGAGGATTTCAAGTACCTACCTGGGGAGAAAAGCTCTCCAAAGGCCTGGCAATAACAGCGAGTGATGGAGGTCAGGCTGGCTGAGGAGGTGGGCCTGAGTGTAGTGAGGACAGGTGTAGATGAGGTGGATACTCCAAATGTGTATGGGCTGGTGGAAGTGTCCATGGTCATGCTGGAGGGCTGAGAGAGCAGCAGTGAAGTTGGTGGTGATGCTGTACTAGTGGTCCCAGGCTCAAGGGGTGATGTGATGGTCCTAGAGGTCTCAGCTGTTGGGGCTGATGGTATGATAGTGATGCTGGTGGTCTCAGGCGTTGGGGCTGATGGTGTAACTGTGGTTCTGCTCATCTCAGGAGTGGGGGTTGATGTGATGCTGATGCTTGTCTCAAGGGGCAGGCTTGTCTGAACTGTTGTGATGTTACTGGTCTCAGGAGTTGGGGCTGATATGACGGTGCTGCCAGTCTCAGTTGTTGGGGCTGACGGCATGATCTTAGTCCTGCTGGTCTCAGGTGCTGGGGTTGATAAGATGGTCTTGGTCTCAGGTGCTGGGGTTGATATGACGGTGCTGCTGGTCTCAGGAGCTGGAGTTGATGGCACGATCTTGGTGCTGCTGGTCTCAGGTGTTGAAACTGATATGATGGTGCCGGTGGTCAGAGGTGTTGGGGTTGATGGTGTAACTGTGATTCTGCCGGTCACAGGTGTTGGGGCTGATGTGATGCTGCCGCTTGTCACAGGTGTTGGGGTTGATGTGATGCTGCCGCTTGTCTCAGGTGTTGGGGCTGATGGTGTAATTGTGATTCTGCCGGTCACAGGTGTTGGGGTTGATGTGATGCTGCCGCTTGTCTCGGGTATCGGGGCTGATGGTGTGATTGTGATTCTGCCGGTCACAGGTGTTGGGGTTGATGTGATGCTGCCACTTGTCTCGGGTATTGGGGCTGATGGTGTGATTGTGATTCTGCCAGTCACAGGTGTTGGGGTTGATGTGATGCTGCCACTTGTCACAGGTGTTGGGGTTGATGTGATG